GTTTGTCTTTATTTCTATATACACCATAGGTGGTTTGTAAGATGGTGCAAAAGCTAGTAGAATTTTATCTTGGTTTCTTTTTATTTTTGTAGGCTTATTTGTACCTTTAGACTACATCAGAACTCCCAAGTGCTGGATCTGCTTCTTGTGCACACTGAGCAACCAGGGCCACGCCCTGCTATTGTAGCAAGCACAAGCAGCAGGCCATCTTTACCATCCTGAATGTCTTTTCCATGTATCTACATTCTCCTAGTCTTTGATCCGAGTTGCTATTGTTTTTTTTTTTGCTTTTTCGAAAAGTAGATTCAAAAGATTGGGATACTAACCTTTGCTGATGAGATATGGATCAGTCTTGTAGTGCTTCTTCTTGAAATTTTCTGTTCTTCTTCTTTGCAATCTGATGTCTGCCCCTTTCTCCTCCTCTATTTGAGCAGAGCAGAGACTTTCCCCACGCACAGCAGATCTGTATTTTTTTCTTTGCTTGTCTCCCAAGTCTATCTGCTATATTCCTATGTATTCATGGTTTTGGGCTTTTCTTTATAGGCTACTGCTGTTTAATGGACCATTTTATCATTTTAGTTAATGAGCTGTACTGTTTTACTCTTCAGTTGCACAGAAATTACAATAGATTTTCCTCTGCGTGGGCCTTCTTTAAAAATCCATTCTTTTAGAGGCAGCCAACAAACATGTGCTAGCTTGTTTTAAAACACACAATTTCTTCTCTATTGAAAATCATGTGTTATCTGCTGGCAACCAACAACCATGTGCTAGCTTGTGCTAAAACACACGGTTTTTTCTCCGTTACAAATCATGTGTTTTGCAGCCAACAAACAACCATGTGCTAACTTTTGCTGAAACACATGATTATATAGTAGATATTCTCTTAATATTAGGTATAGATATGCTCACCCGGAGACAAGTAGGAATACTTATGTGTGTTGGGTAAAACTGTATAAGTACTAGTATATAAATATAAAGTTGGTTACACCATTATTCCATTACAGTGTCACATGGCAGCGCACGACGCAAGCTAGGAGAAAAACCTACTTACATTGTTACAGAAGTAATGACAACAACAGGAGCAGCAAGTGGACGCACACGAGACATCAACGCAAAAGAGGCAACTATATGCTGCAGAATCACGCACGCATCGATCATGGCTCGGCGTAGAGGTGCGCCGGCAGCTTGGGCTCCACGACGGCCTCGAGCGGGAACTTGCGCGGCGTGGACAGACCGAAGATCTCCTCCATGCTGAGCTCCTCCTTGGTCACGCCGTCGGGGAGGCTCCACGCGAAGCCGTGCAGCAGGTTAGCGAGGCTCACCTGGATGACCTTGAGGCCGAGGCTGTACCCGGGGCACATCCGGCGGCCGGACCCGAACGGCAGCAGCTCGTAGTCCTGCCCCTTCACGTCGAGCCTGCTGCCAAGGAACCGCTCCGGCATGAATTCTTCCGGCGCGTCCCACAGCGCGGGGTCACGGCCGATGGACCAGACGCTGACGAGCACGCGCGTGCCGGCGGGGATGTCGTAGCCGGCCACGGTGGTGTCCTCGCGGGACAGGCGGGGAACCAGCATGGGTGCCACCGGGTGCAGCCGCATGGTCTCCTTGACGATGGCGTCGACGTAGGGGAGGCTGGGCATGTCCTTCTCTGTCACCCAGCGGCCGCGGCCGATGACGCGGTCCAGCTCCTCCGTGGCCTTAACGATGACCTCGGGCTTCTTGAGGAGCTCCGAGATGGACCACTCCACTGTGACCGCCGAGCTCTCGGTGCCACCGGCGATGAGGTCCTGCACGTGCCATTCGAGAGGGTGCGTGGTCAAGTTTGATTCTTGCACTGTTCATGAGCTCATGATTCTTGCACTTGGTTTTGGATTTTTCAATTGATTCTTTAAAAGTTGTCTGACTAGCTGATAAGTTGTTAACGTGATGTTTGCAGTTCAGAGTATATGTACAAAAGTAAGAGCGAAGAGATGCAGAATCCGACAACATCTGATCTGCTCTGCGCAACGGAATCCTAGTGCAGCTGGGGGGGATCTATTTAGACTCACCTGAGTAAAAGCTTTGACGCTTTCCCGGTTCAGCTCGACCTCAAGGGTAGGGTCGTCGGCGATCTGCAGCAGCACGTCGACCATGTCCTTGGCGACGAAGTCCTTGCCCTCGCGCAGCCGCCGCTGGTTATGCTCCTCCACGACGTGCTCCAGGAAGCGGTCGAACATCTTGCTGAGCTTCTTCATCCGCTTGATGTACCCCTGCAGGTCCATCCAGTCCAGCCACGGGATGGAGTCGCCGATGTTGAGCACGCCGTTGAGCAGGAACAGCTCGTCCAGCATCCACTTGAACTCCTCGGGGGTGGTCACCACCGACCCAGCGCCAGCGGCAGCCTCCTCCTTGTCCAGGTACTTCTTGCCGAGCACCATGCGCGTGATCACGTTCAGGCTCACCGTGGACATGTAGTCCTTGAGCATGACGGAGCGGCCGGAGCCGGACGCCGCGTGCAGGTCGCGCAGCAGCGCGCGCACCTCGGCGGCGCGGATGTACTCGTACGACTCGAGCCGCTTGGCGCTGAAGAGCTCAGTGAGGCACATCTTGCGCGCCTGCCGCCAGTAGGCGCCGTAGGGGGACCAGGTGATGTCGCGGTAGTTGTAGGTGGTGTACTTGCCGGCGGCCGTCTTTGGCCGGTCCGTGAACACCACGTCGTGGGTCTTGAGGAAGAACTTGGCCATGTCCACCGACGAGCCCACCACCACGGGGAACGACCCGAACCGGAGCTGCATCAGCGGGCCGTACTTCCTGGACAGCTCGTGGATGGAGCGGTGCGGGAGCGCGCCGATCAGGTTGAGGTTCCCGATGATCGGCCACGGCTTGGGGCCGGGCGGGGGAGGTTGTACACGCGGCGGCCGCGGCGGCCGAGCATGGCCTTCAGAAGCATCACGGTGGCGAGCACCACACCGAGGAAGGACGCCCATGTTGGAAGCTCCATTGGTACAGTGTCGAGCTAGAGAGGATTGTCGACTGAGTTGAGCTGGTGAGGTGGTGCTGGAACGTGCCTTCACCGTGCCTTCTTATAGGAGCGCAGCGATGTCATGAACCGCGTGTGGAAGCTGCTGTGTGGGAAAGGACACGGAAATTGGAGACGACTTCACCGGAATAAAACTCTTGACGAGGGAACGACGACGACGCTGGTCACCTGGGAACCCCACTTGCCGAACATACAATTTATAGTACAAGTTAGCACATGCGGATGATTCGTTGTGTTATTACTACTCACTCCGTTTATTCAGATTCGGCTGATCATATTCAACTTTTGCATTTCAGGACTGAGTAGGGTGAAGAAATTTTTTCTAAGAATAGGTTGTTTTTTTACCACTTCTCCTATATTTCAGTTGCTTGAATTTCAAGACGATTTTAGAGGAAATTCTTGTACAGCCACTGGTACAAGTAAATTGTTGTTTTTATGATTTATTATTTATTTTTGTATTATAACATATAAATTTTTTGTCCTTGTTGAACTATAAAAACAATTATAAATTATTAACTGTCTTTGTGCCAACATATATGGTGACTTCGTGAATCTCAAGATCTGACAACTCAGTCATTCGGAGGTGCTCACAGGGGTATGATTTGCGTACGTGTGTTCATAGGACAGCTCAGTCCTTTGGAGCTGCTCATAGGGCTAGGGTTTACGTATGTGTGTTCATAGGGGTGAGTGTGCGTACGTGTTGTGACGTCTTCATGTACTTTGTAATTCTCAAAAATAAATATACATATCAGATTTTGTCGGGTTCATGGTTTGTCTAACGAGGGTTTTTATTCTTGGAAGCGAAAATTACACATTATGCCTAGATAAATTACAATGAACTAAACTATAATTTTAGTATAAAACATATGCAATAACCGTCGTCCGAAAGTAAACTAAAATTCAGGCATTTGAATTTTAGCAAGTCCTTTTTTTTACCACATAGTACTAGGAAACTACAGATTAATACATATACAGCATATATTAATCACATGTGATAAGTTTAATTTGGTTTTGACAGTAAGATGTTACACATGTTGATTTTCAGTTTGAGGAACAATCGGATCGGGGGGACTTGAGCAAGTAGAGTATTGTGAATTCTTGTTTGGAATTCTATTGGCTGTGCCGGAAGACTGATAAATTTGTGTTTGGAGTCCTATTGGATAAGTAAAGAAGGAGGCAACGGGTGCTTGCATCACGACCGTGAGACACGGTCCGTGGTGCTGGGATCTTTGTTTCACGGGCGTATTTGGTGAGGCTTCTTCAGGCTCCGGCTCCGCGATACATTACCGGAAGAGCCCGAGCTGGAGCCGGAGGAGCCACGAATTGTGGCTTCTTCCGGCTCCCAGTTCATTTCGATATGATAGAGAAAACGGCTTAAATGAACAATGTTGCTACAGTACGAGCTGCAAGAAGCCGGAGCCATAAAAAAACTCTGCCAAATATGCCCTAATTATTGGTTATGGTTTTCTTTTTAAATAAAAAATATTTTCATTGTTTACTTGCTTTATGCATTTGATTAAAAAAAAGCAAAGGCTGATTTTCCAGTGTGTTTTTTAGATAATAATGTGGTTTTATATCGAGGAGTTAAGTTTTGAACATACGTATGTGCAATCGAAATTTACATCAAACGACAAGACACCTTTGCTGAAGTGTGGAAAAAATGCCTGACCCTCGAGATTTGACATTTCAGACGAAATTGCGTTCACTAGTCAGTACGCACTGACTCCTGTAGCAAGTCAAGTCCTAAAAGGGAGCCGGAGCAGGTAACATGCTCTGATCCAAAATATCTACAGAAAGACTTGGCTAACATGCAAGCTTCTCATCAAGTGTGATGCAATTCAATCGGCAAGTTGCAGTATCTGCTGTCAGATGATGGTTGCATGATCAGGGATGTCAAATTTACTTGTCGGGTCCGCGTGGGCTTCACGAACTTTTCAATTGATGTAGTTTACATATAATTGCGAGGGGAATTGCTAGAACATCACAGGGAAACACCTACTACTACTGGTGATAAGAGGACTTCTGGACGGACAACCCATTTGGAACGGCTGACTGACCATGGACTGACCAAAGAGCTGAAAAGCGACTTTCGCTCATGTGGAGCATGCTTTAAGCGGTTGTCGCCGCTGATGCTGTTTTGTTGGGTTTTTATGCTACGAACAAAAAAGAGAGAAAAGACAAAAATCGTATTGCATTAAAAAATTAAAGCCGACTAAAAGTTCGCCTAGCAACTGCTGGAGTCTCCTATTGGAGCTCTCAAAATTAAATTCAAGGGCTTGAAGCAAAAGCACAGGTCCTGTAGGACCTTTATTAGAGTCCTCAAATTCAAGGGCGAACGAGGTCTCCCCCTCTATCGGCTCCTGAAGAAGGCCGATCATTTCAAATGGACACCCAAAATCTAGGAGGCACTTGACATGGTCAAGCAGTTTCTGACAAAGGCCCCGATCCTGGTCCCTCCGTCGACGGGGAACCGCTTCTACTCTACATTGCGGCCACCACGCAAGTGGTCAGCGCCGCCCTGGTGATGGAGCGAGAAGAAGAGGGACATGCCCTTAAAGTGCAGCGTCCCATGTACTTCATTAGCGAGGTCTTGTTCGATTCTAAGACTCGCTACCCCAAATCCAAAAACTCCTGTGCGCCGTCCTCATCGCCAAGAGGAAGTTATGTCACTACTTCGAGTCGCATCCGGTGACGGTCGTGACGTCCTTCCCTCTCGGTGAGGTCGCCCAAAACTGGGATGCCACAGGAAGAATCGCGAAGTGGGCATTCGAGCTAATCTGTCAAGGCATTTCGTATGCCCCTTGGATGGCCATCAAGTCCTAAGTGCTGGCTGATTTCGTTGCAGAGTGGAGCGAGGTCCAAATGCCGCCAGCAGTCGTCGACCAAGAGTATTGGATGATGTACGGGATAGAGTCGCCGATGTTGAGCACGCCGTTGAGCAGGAACAGCTCGTCCAGCATCCACTTGAACTCCTCGGGGGTGGTCACCACCGACCCAGCGCCAGCGGCAGCCTCCTCCTTGTCCAGGTACTTCTTGCCGAGCACCATGCGCGTGATCACGTTCAGGCTCACCGTGGACATGTAGTCCTTGAGCATGACGGAGCGGCCGGAGCCGGACGCCGCGTGCAGGTCGCGCAGCAGCGCGCGCACCTCGGCGGCGCGGATGTACTCGTACGACTCGAGCCGCTTGGCGCTGAAGAGCTCGGTGAGGCACATCTTGCGCGCCTGCCGCCAGTAGGCGCCGTAGGGGGACCAGGTGATGATGTCGCGGTAGTTGTAGGTGGTGTACTTGCCGGCGGCCGTCTTTGGCCGGTCCGTGAACACCACGTCGTGGGTCTTGAGGAAGAACTTGGCCATGTCCACCGACGAGCCCACCACCACGGGGAACGACCCGAACCGGAGCTGCATCAGCGGGCCGTACTTCCTGGACAGCTCGTGGATGGAGCGGTGCGGGAGCGCGCCAACCAGGTTGAGGTTGCCGATGATCGGCCACGGCTTGGGGCCGGGCGGGAGGTTGTACACGCGGCGGCTGCGACGGCCGACGATGGCCTGGAGAAGCATCACGGTGGCAAGCACCACACCGAGGAAGGATGCCCATGGCGGAAGCTCCATAGGAACGATCGAGCTAAGGCCACTAGAAGCTGCAGCTGCAGTAATTTCAGCCGGCTTGACGCTGTCGATAATGATGGTAAAGTTTGGAAGTGGCTGGTCGAGTGACTAGTCCCCTAGCTGGTGAGATGTGCGTGGGCAATGGCCTAATGGGAAAGGGCCTGGAAATCGGAGGCGACTTGAGAGGCCTTTACAATTACAATAAATCTTGACGAGAGAGCGGCAACGAGAGGGTCGTCTCCCGGTCCGGGAAACACGTGCCGCGAAAACCTGCTTGTGCAGCTATGGCTTTTGCAGTAGGCTCGGAATCTGCAAGTACACCTAGAATGGTACGTAGATTGTTCGTTGTGGCAGAAACACTTGCGCTGTTCCATTGACGTGTCCACCTCAATTCACATGTGTCAGAAGTAAAATGGAATGAAATTTAATTTAATTTTACTTTAATCTACTTCAACACATATGACATGCGCATCACTGTCCCAACGACCTTCAAATCGCCGGCTCTGCTGAAATCTTATTGGGCACTGAAGGGAGTGAGCAAGTAGCTAGCGCTATCATACTCGCTAGTCTGGCACGGAGTTAAAAAAAGGCAGCCTCTCAGCTCCTAGCTGTGCTATCTCAACTTCTCTATTTTTTTTTATTGTTTTCAGCTTCCAAACAGCATGTTCGTTTAGCTAGGCTGGATCGGTTCGTGAAGAAATACTACTACTGGCTAGTTTAGTATGAGAGAAAAATACTGTTTCTACTAAAAATTTACGAGAAAGTCCCGCCAAGCAAACTGGCTGCAAATCAACGGGGGATTCGGTTCTCCTGTTGGGGACGCCCTATAGGACTAGCAAAAGTACCCCTTAGTTAATACAGGTCAAACGCCATAAACATTTTATCACTGTTCTAGCAAATGTACATATGCGTTACAACTTACAACTAAATGTATAGCTTGTTGCATGGTTACCTCGATGATTTATAGCTTGGATTTTTATTCAACTATCGGTTATTTGCTCCAAATGCATGTGAGCTAAGCGTAGCTAAACTGGTTGGATTCCTTGTGGTGGAATCTGTCCACCCAGATTTCAGTCGTCAACATGACGTGAGTGCTCACATTTATTCCAAGATTTAGCAACGTTGTTCTTTCAGTGGTATGCCTTAGGCGTTTGTGGTGACTTTGCCGATCTTAAAATCTCCGCTCAATCATACTCTCTCGGAGGTGGTCATAGGGAGAGGACGGAGAGGAGGTGCGAGGGCATTTTGGAAAGTAAAAAATGGATAGGAGAATATCTTTATTCTTTAATATTAGGTATAGATATAGATAGTGGATATTTATGGTTGCTAAAATTGTTCATTGACATTAGGGTTTTGATGCCATATTTTGGACAATAAATTAGTGCTCCCTCTGTTCCGAATTATAAGATATTTTAATTTTCTAGATATATTGCTTTTACTATATTGTATATCTAAGGGTACCCCCAATCAAGAAACTATATGATTTCTATGTTCATTAATTAATGTGCCATCTAAGCAAAAAGATGATGTGACACTGCAGCTAAAGAAAAGAAAAGAAGAGAGATGAGGAAATGGTTTCGTAGATAAGAAACCATGTCTACGTGAGAACCAAGAAATAAAGAGATGTGATACGTAGGTGATAGAAAGAGAAGACTTGTAACTGGACAAAAAAATATTTATAGAAACTATGGATTGAGAATATAGTTTCTGTGTAGTGTCTAATAAACTAATAGGTATAGAAACTACACATGGTTTTTAGCATTTTGATTGACCTATGTATCCAACAAAAACTATATATTAGAAAAATTTAAACGTCTTATTATTTAGAATGGAGGAAGTAAAAAACATAGTTAAATTTATATCAAAATGTCTACGCCTTTGTATGCAAAATACTTAGTAGTGAAGGTCATCTACCACATCACCGTGTTCTCTATATACCATACCTCTTGCGGTCTCATCTCTTCCACCACTATATCACCCTCACTGCCGCCACCCCGTGGTCCTATCACGGTCTCATCCTACACCATCCATGAAAAAAGAAAGAAAACCTAGTGGATTCAAGAGGAAAGGCTCCAAGGTGTGTGCACAAATTTATTAGAGCATCTGCAATAGATTTTAAAAAATCAATTAGTAAATAAATAAGTTTTCCAATTAGCTAAAAGAAGTTCGGAGTATATTTATTGAGCTTCTCCAACGGTTTCTAAAATCTCGCTCCTAAAATATAAAAGACAATAATACATCAGGAATCCTGGACTATTTTCAAATCACCCTAACCACTTTTATACTTTCTTTCTCTTTTGTATATTTGCATTGGAAACTCTGTCCTACTACTTAATTTTCCTCACATCCTACCATCTCCAGATTGGCCGATCGATACACGTGCATATAAATCTCGCGACTATGTCGATTTTCCCAAGTGCGGAAAGATTGAGAGTTAAGATATGGAGTTGTTGAAGAGCAGCTTTTTCAATCTTGCGAAGAAATCAAGTTTGAAAGTGGATTTTGGAAACTCTTGAAGATATTCCTATAAAACATGTTGTTGGTAAGCAAATTTGGCTATAATCAGCTCCAAATTTTAAAGTGGTGACCGGTCAGGTTAAACCTATAAATTAGAGCATCTCCAAGAGTTCCCAATAAAACTTTCTAATCTAGAATTTTTAGCAAGAGTAGAAAAAACACATCTCCAAGAGGTCCCAATACCACCTCACAATCTTTTAGCACTTGAAAAAAAATCACCCAAAGCGCGTAAAGATCCGCGCGTGGCGCGCGTATCTGTCTTCCAATCTAAAGGTGGAAGGGCGTGAAAAAAGAATAAAGAGTAGAAAAAAATTACTGATGCAAATGTACAAGAGAGAAATAATATATAAATGTGGTGGGGATAATTTAGAAATAGTATATGATTCCTGATGTAAAATTATCTTCTATATTTAATAAATGAATTATTGGAAATCGTTGGAGATGATGTTATTTATTCCTCCCAATACTTCTTTGAGAGTTAGAAAACACCATGATTTTTTGAACAAATTATTGGGTACTCTTGGAGATGCTCTTATTACATGAAAGCAGCTGTGCATTCTTTTCTAAGTTGTACAAATAAAATATTAGCATAACTTTTATTTTATATATATATATGTGTGTAATCTTCCGTCACCCACGTATTGCCGATGGAGACTAATTGACGAACGCTCACTATAATTAAATTCAGCGAACGATTCTATGACAGTCGAAAACTTTCCTTTTCAAGAAAATAATTATTCCCGCCTGCTTCCTTTTCTAGCGGTGACGAGTGCTTTGTCTCTTTCTCTTTTCGTGTGCGGGAGAGCGCTCTCACGTCTGGAGCCAACATTTTCTTTTTTTTTTTTGAAAAGCGCACACATAACCTTTTTCGACCAAAGAAGAATTATATTAGATAATAGTTGTGTGCATCAACACATTACAAGCACTCTGGATTATACAAATATCCAGAAACTGATTTTATCTAAATTATCCTCATGCTATGAATAGTTTCAAATCTCAAAACCAAACCTGTACGATGCTTTGCAGTATGGATAACCGCATAGCCAAACACTCGGCAATAGGCCTGGGAACCGATGCCCAACGAACGACGGTCAACATTCATGTAGGCGGAGTTGAGAAACTTCTTCTTTCTGGTGTCTTCCTTCTTCTTCTTTCTGCCACCGAAGAATGAGAAGACTGATATGTAACTTTTTCTCCCTAGTCCTTCATCGTGGCCAGATCTAACCACAATAAAACGGAGAAGAGACCGGAGAAAATTATTCTATGGCGGCGACACCATCTCCGCCTTGATGTCGCTGTCCAGAAATAAAAGTCTCCATGCCGTCGTACCGGACACTAACTGAGTTACTCTGTACAAATTTAAGGACTAAGTTAATGGTGCTATGTTATATAACATTACTTTTTTTTCTTTTTTTTGCAAACAGAGACCCGTGCATAATTTAAATTTTGAGAAAAGGTACGTAAAAAAAATTCTCTTTAGGAGCATTTTTCTTTTCGTTTCATGAACTAATTATTCGGGAACACGGGAAAAAGGGTTTAAAATGGGTGGGGGAGCAAAATAAAAGTAACTTTTACAGCCTATACTGCACAGCAAATTCCATAAGATGTTGCAAACTTGTATAACAAGTTTCGTAATAACTTTAACTTCTTAGCAGCATAGGATATTAACCATCCCTGTGTCTTCACTAAGATCTGCAAACTATTTAATATTTAAAATAATAAATAAAAATAATAAAGTTGACAACAAGAAACACATAAGTTAATAGCAAAACTAAAATAATTATCTAACATAGTGTGATAAAACATGAAACTAAGTATAGTAAGTTAATCAAATAAGTTAGTTAGCATACACGTAAAAACAAAAGTTAGATACATAACTCTGTACAGTAAGTTAATCAAATAAGTTAGGTAACGTACACATAAAAACACAAGCTAGATACATAACTCGGTACAATAAATTAATCAACTAAATTAGATAAATAACTAAGTTATTTAACCTAGCACCCAAAAACATTTAGAACAAATTTATAGAGTACCGTAAGAAGCACAATTGAATACATAATCTCAAGAAAAAGCAGAAGAAACTATTTCAATAGCAATGAATGTAAGAACTTAAATAGAAAATCATACCTGTTATACCCTATTGATGTATAATTTAAAAGCTTTATACCCTAACAAATTTTAAAAGGTGCAACGATGAGGATTCAAACACAAAACAATAGGTACAATATAAAAAATCTTACTTGTTGCATAGCTATGTCTAGGTAACAAGAATTGATTCTCCTTATGCGTGCACAAATAGTATGTCAATGCCTCACGTATAGGCTTTGGGTGCTAAACTATATCTGATGAATCTTTCTAAGAAGTGATGACAAATATCAGCTGGAACAAGTTCGGCATTTTAAAGTGCAACCTGACAAATATGCATATAAGATTTAACAAAACAAATTAAAAGTCTTATCACAATGGCTAATTAAGTATCCATT